TTTTTGTTGTTTGTTTTTAGCCCTGGTGATGTTGTAGCTCCTCTTGGCGCTGGTGTAATTGGGGATTTGGACTGTGAAGAGGACACAAGACAACAACCACAAGTTAACGGAAGTCAACTTCCAGGTATTTGAAGCTTTATGATGCTGAGAGACACAAAGCCTCCATCGCTCATTTCCCTTTCTGCAGTTCTCCTCCAAGTTTTGAGTGAGAAACATATGGGAGTCCCTTCTCCAGGGAGACATGATTGGAAAAATTAATAATGAACCAAATGAAGCTAATCTTCTTTTGAATAACTTTTTTTAAATTACTTCTGGCATAACATGTAAACAATTGCATGTAGTTATAAAATTTAAAAAAAATTGTCAACTCCATTTGAACATAAAGGAGGTCTCTCTGTATTTATTTACATTATTAAGAGATAATTATTTATTTATCTACTTTTAAATTTTTGGTTGACTCAAAGCATTTTAACATTTGTGATGTTGTTATCTCATAGTTTTTTATAGCTTTAAGCCTCAACCATCAGAACAAGAAGATGTGTCATTAAAACAACCACAAGATAGAGAAGAGGTATTGAAAATATTGCAAGTGTTTGATAGTAATGTCTGAGACCTTTTCCTCTATGACGAGGAAAAGGTATGTAAATGTGGAGGCCATATGCATGCAAACTTAAGATGAAGCCAACTTATGCATGTAGCTTTGTAGCTACAAGTTGCCTATTGACTCTTCAGCTATTTATTTGTAATGATATTAAGTGATAAATTTACCTTTAATTTACTTTGAACAAAAATTTAATTTTTAAGTCATTAGTACAAAAAAACAGGCAGTTTGAGTTTGTTAAATGATATTGCTACAAGGCGAAAAAATCGAATTTAAGTTGCCATATTGTCTGACAGTGGACATTGTGTACCTTCACCTTTTCAGTAGCATTGCTGCTATGTATAGTTAACTTAAATGTGCAAATTCAGACCATGCTTATCCTAGGTAAAATACACTGACTGATACAAGCCATTGACTAAAGAAGAATGTATTATCCAATTTCCTTTTGATAGAAATGTTACTCTATTTTTCTTTACTTATTCAATAATTAATTTGCCCGAAATAGTTGTGTTTTTCATGGGCTGTTGTTTTCCATTCCTGAGTAGGGAATTAAGATTTCCCTTCATTGAATACTTTACTTTCATATGCAAAATGGGAAATTATTACAATATTTCTTTGAAAGACAAAGCAAGTTTTGCCCTTAAATATTATGAACTTGTCATTCTTTTCATTGCAGAAGTCCCATCATTATTGTTGCATTTGCATGGAATATGTGTACATTCAGGTGAATGGAAGCCGCCAAATAGCAGCGCATGAGGCATGTCTAGATAAACTTAATTTGAGCCATACAGACTGGAACTGGTGAGTATAAAACCATTGATTTGCTGATTGACTCAAAATTGCAAAAGCAAATATTTAAACATAGTGATTCAATTGTTCTCTAGGGAATGATTGTTCTAGTGTCCCCAGTTAGTGGTTGTATAACTGCTATTTTAGATTTGACACATAAATAAAGGTTGTATGTATGTATGTATGTATGTATAGTCAGAGTACAGTGCTCATGTCCATGTTCATTGAACATTTGGCTTGTGTACATAGAACTGAATACTTAACATACTCAACAAAAATGTACCCTGCCATATCAACAATGACCAGATGTTTATTACCGTAATTTCCGGTCGATTACCCGCACGGCCGATTACCCGCACCGGCCGATTATTGCATACGGCGAAAAAAAAAGTCAACGGATTACCCGCACCGGTGGATAACCCGCACGTTGTTATTCAACTTTTTCGGTGGCGAAAACGTGACATTAAGGCGATACATTTCAGTCTTTCGATTCAGACATGTGCACAATTCTGTGTCAATATTAGCTTATACTTTATTGATTGATTATTGCTGCTGCTCTATTACCGATTTCATCGGCAAGAGTTATTACTCTAAGCTTATAATCAAACGTAAAACTGTGACGTGGGCGTTTCACAGCAGGCATTTTAACTTAATTGGTGACTCGTAGATACACTTATCGCGAATGATCGAGGTTTATAATTCTTATTCAGTCAGTTACCTTTTTATAGCATGTAGGAGCGTAATGAGCAATATCCATTGTTCATTTGTCGTTAAAATACTTTTTCAGCGCGAAATTAGTTAAGTTTCGCACCTATTATTTTCAACATTCTGGTGATGCATTTGGGATTTAAAATTACTGTCGGCAATTTCTCAAAAAATCGATATCTCCTGTTCTACTGGGCCTAACAATTCCCTTAAAACGGGAAAATTCTCTTTAGCTCAAGCTAGTGAAAACTGGAAATTTGTTACTGATGCGCCGGATATCCTTGGATTATTTTTGTCACCATCAAGGTTTTGTTTGTCACGCAACTAATTATGCGTGAAATAAACTCGAGTTGGCATCATGTTTTCGTGCCGCTTTGTGGCACTTTTGATACAATAAAATTCATT